CTTATGGGACTACTGTACCAGAGCTATCAATTGCGCTCTGCACTATCTGAGATTGTCTCACTAGTTTTATTACCACAACTAATCCCACTTTTATTTCAAAAATCACAAGGAAATACAAACTAAACTCAAAATAGTACATCTCTATTTATTACAAAACTAACTTTTACATTGTTGTACATTACACAAAGTTTATTAAAGGTCTTTTTCATTTTTGTATTCTAATAAGTCAAGGTTTAGGTTGTGGTGGATGTTTAATTTACCGGTAAATTAACAGAATTACAAACGACACTAGCTTGAAAAGTGACTTGAATCCGCAAAAACATATTTAAACATCCACCATGATACCCAAATACTTCTGAAGCTACTGGTGAATGTTTGATGTACTTTGTATTTTTCTAATATTTTTCTGCATCTGGTGTGAGAAAAAATAATGTGAGTGTTCTGTCACTACCTAAAACAGTTTCATTAATGTCTTTGCCATCTCTAGGTTCCGGGGGTGGGGAGGTGGGGGGGGGGGGGGAAGGAGACTCCCATATAAAAATGACCGGGGTGCTCATTGTACCTTTTTGCAAGTTAAAAAAGTGGTTTTAGTACCTCTTCGGATGTTCAGCCTCAAAAGATCCACAGCGGGAGATTCGTAGTACCTTTTAGAGTATTGAGCCGAAAAAAGTTGACAGGAGGTTATGTGTTGTTTGTAGGATTGGTACCTCTTGGGGGTGAAAAAGAATTCAAGCCACGCCCACAAAACAGGATCTTAGTACCTCTTCGGAGTTCTTTTCAAGATTTCAGACGAGCACCTCCATCCTTTTTATACGGGAGTCTACCCACCCCCAACCCCTAGGTTCTACGTATTAAGAATCTTCGGGTACAATTTCATGTCCTCCTAGTTGCAACTTAAGCATTTAGGTCACTTTTTGACAGTCTTCTTTTATGCCTAGGTTTTTCTCTTCTTTTCTCCATGAACTTTTTTCCTAATTTAAATATTCATCAAAATTTTTTCCTTCCAACATAATTATTGAGTGTCCATAGTCAATACTTTTAAACTTTCCAGTGGTATCTGTCAATAAATTTTGTTTGTTTTCGCCTAAACATTGTCAGCCTCTATCCACCATGTGTGTCGCNATGTGCCCTTCCAAGCATATTTATGCTCAACAGTCAAGAACAATTAATAGCATGACTCTCACAAGCAGACTCAAGTGTCAGTAAAGTCTGTCAATGAAGTGTCATTGAAACTTCGGCATGCTGGTATGACGTTGATTGACTGCCCTGCCCCATCCTGCAGCATGATTGCAAGAAGCTATTAAACATTTCCATTTCCTCAGTGACTCAGGGCCAGATAGTTAGGTAAAGAAGAGATCAGTTGGGCCAAAGCAGTACAAATGAACACGTTTGCCCATTGAACTTCCTCCTGACCCAAATCTCTCACCCTGATTCTCTGAGGACTACTATATTTTTTAGTATAAGAGCTCAATATGTATTAATCTACAACGTACTAATCTGCTCAAAGGATTGTCAAGAACTAATATTCAGTTAGACTCAGTTATTACTTACAATCCTTCACCCGAGTGTACATGTAAACTGACAGTTACTTCCCCCATTTAGTCAGAAAAAAAAGTTCCTGGACATTTTTATCAGTGCTAGTCAATTTGTCTTCAAAATTACCTAGTATTCCCTTGACAAATACAAGGAGAGTCACTAAGGGCCTTATTCTGTGTACCACTTCATTTACTTTACAAATTTGTCATACTATCAGTACAACAAATAAAAATAAAGAAAAAAAACTATTCCAGCCTGGTCCAAAGCCATGTTCTCTTTGGTTAGTGTACAGCATAATGAGTAAGACCCTGTGTTTGGCCAACCAGTAAAAATACGCACAATGTCCCATAATCATAACATCAACACGTTGTAGGATTAAGGGAATGCTGGGATACTACACTGCATATTCCAAATTTTTGTGTTTGTCAATCAGTATGCCCTATCTATTCTCTACTAACATGGTCATTACAGCATGTCTCAATTTTGGGTTTACAAGCTGTAAGAAAAACTTACAAAGCTCTCTTTGTATACTGTTTGATGATATCATTAACATAAAACCTTGCTCTAATCTCTTCAGCATCAGAATGACCTCGGCTTTGAAGAGCTAATAATGGCAACCCGCCCAGTAGAAACAGTGCCAGGCCTTGGACGATGGTGCTCACGGCATGATATTCCTTCAGCGACATCACAAATAAGAATATTACCACCAGGTAACACCCCAGGGTAACAAACTTCAAGAACTTTGCCAACATGATGCGCTTGAAAGGCATAAGTTGATGCGAGGAAGCAAGGAAGATATCTAGTGGAATGCTAGGGACACCGTAATCATCCAGCGTCACAAGGAAGTTCACCGACTTGGACCTCTGAAGGGACGACAGAGACGATGACCTCCTCTCGCCAGTAATCGGTCCACTAAATGATTCTCTGATGCTTGCTTCTGTTCTGGCCTCTTCATCATATTTTTCACACTCTTCAAAGACAAGGGTCTTTAAGTATGTAAACTGGGCATAATATTTGTTTGTAGCTCTCAGCATGTACACAATTACCCATAACCCGAGAACAATGTACGGAAGGTAAAAATCAATGTAGAACAGCAGACCCATGGTCGTAAAACCAGCAACACTTCCAAGAAACATGATGTTCACAGTCAAGGTGACAACCAGCATGATGTATGAGGCTTCGACGCACATGCAAAATACAAGGAACAAGATGTACAAGATGGGAAAAGATGTTATCTTTACAAAGGAAGGAATGGCCTGACAGCACTGTGATTCAAATTCAATTCTGAACAACATCTTCCAGATACGAAAGGCCACATAAGTAACTGGGATGATATAAAGAAGAAAAGCTGTAGTTATGGTGACAGCCCATAATGGGAAAACTAGCAGCAACCAAACTATCTTGCAAATTTTTGAGCATAGTTCACATCTTTTTTCTGTCTCCTCTGACTCAGCATTGAAGCTCGAGTCCATGGGTTCATCAAAGACATTTATGCCGCAAAGCTTCTGTAAGGGATAGGTCACAACCAAGAACACAAACTTCCAAAACTGCCACATGAGTAGGCAATTAAGATGAAAAACAATGTTCTCGTAAATCAGTTGGAAGCCACGCTTGTCTGAAGAGCAAATGATCTCGTCTGGTTTCTTAAAGCCAAGAAATGAGCGCTCATCTCTCCTCCCTGCAAGCCGTCTTGCCAAGTCTGACAAGGTTCTAGGGATTGCGATTGCAATGCAGATTAGTAGAATGCAAAAGCAGTAGGCTGCGCTCAATACGAACTGACTGTTCTTCTCCAACAGTGTGATGAAAGCATCTCCAACTCCAAGCAATTTTCCAGTTGAAATTCCCACTTCCGCTTGTTTCAAATAGGCATAAATAAAGCCTTGAAGAAGAGGGAGACAACTTAGTAAGATTACAAAGAGACAGCGGCTCAATCTTGAGAAGAATACTGACTCAGTTTGCGTTCGCAGCACATCTAATAATCCGCCATCCAAGGCAAATAACAGTGGGCGGGTAGATAGCGTCATCAGGTCCACTGATGATGTCTCGGCCTCTGGAATTTCAGATTCTCTCCTCGCAAACGTTGCCTTTGGTCTTATTCTAGGTCCTTTTTTGAATTCTTTTGGAAGGTACTTGAGTAAAAGAGGTGCAAAAAGACCGAATCCAAATGAAGAAGCCCAGAGAAATCTTATTGCAATTTGAATCCACTGGTTGTTCTCAACGGGTCTATCACAAATCAAAGAGTTGTTCCTTTGTTCACAGCAGCGATACCCCACGTCTCTCACATCGCCATCCTCCTCAGTCTCTACAGTTCTGACACAGACATCCCCATCAGTGCCTGTTACCCTGTCTATAACAGTGGCAGCAATCATCCCATTCAAACAGTTTTGCGACAAGTTTGCAAAGCAGTTCCGAGGTTTCGCATTTATGTTTAGGTCTACGCTAAAAGCGTCCCTTTGTAACGTAGTCAGAGAAAGGATGTCAAAATCGTAGGGAAGAGTAGCGAGAAAGCGACCTCGCTTATTTCGTAACCAGGCCCACTTTTGCTTGATTTGCAGTTCAACGGAAGACACATTCTTTCCATCATTTTGCGAAGGAGCTGTGGAATTTCCAACGGTGACGAAAATGAAAACAGCCAACGCATTTTCGTCGAATATCGGTTCTTTCAATTTGTCTGCCTCGCTTTTGTCGAGGGCCAAAGAGCAATTCAAAATATTGCACTTCGTTCCGTTTACGCGGACATCTGATGTCGAATTTTGAGTCGAAGGAGTCCTTGAGGTTTCTTTTATGAGACCACTTCTCACTACAGAAGCGTTTAAGATACAAAAGGAAAAGGTAACTACAAGTAAAACGCTGAAGACATCACCTATCCCAGACATATCTAACTTGTCCGTACTGTTGCCTCCATCAACGAGCAAGAACAAGGTCAGATCTGCATGTGCAGCAGTCACGCGACCTCCCCCAAGAGAATAATTTCGTCATAGGTGCGCAAGGCGTACGAAGAAGTACCGGATTGGAGGGTTCCGGTGTGCTGACTGCCCGGGGTGACTGCAGTCTGCGCAGTCTGCAGACTACATTGAGACCATTTAGGCCTAAATAACGATCAAGTTCGCCTGAATATCACTCATGTTACCCTGAATTGCGCGCAGTTTTGCCTGTTTACGGTTAGCTTTCTATATCTAGAACAGTCTGTGGTCTGCAAATACACTACGACGATTCGAGGTAGCATACATACACTGATAAGGTGTGACGCAATATGGACGAAAGCATAACTTCTCGGGCTTCGCCAAGATCTTT